CATTCACTGCCAAACACACCGATCGATACCTCTTCGCGCGGACAGACCTCTTAGGTATCGATTGAACCGATTGTCTGATTATTTAAATGCAATTCAAATGCAATTAATTTTAATTAACATTTCATTAAATTTTACTTTTAAATTCAATTCACTTTCATATGTTATGTAATATACAAGTAACTGATTTTGATATTTCGTAACATTTATATTTAGAGGTAATGTGTTAAATTGATATGATATCATTGTTATAAAAAGTACCAAAGCATAATGTATTTATAGGGTTATTTGAAACACCAAAAACTATGTAATAAAATGCAAGTTTCATACCATTTTACAGTAGATGTCAGTCACAGGCAATGTGTGTCCAATCAATATATAGCGTAATAGATGATAAAAGTGATAAAACAGGTCATCTGTGTATGAATGAATGCTAAGGGGCTAAAGGGTAGCATAAAATTGGGTAAATATGTCACACACTTTATTACCAATATCTTACGGCAAACATTGCATTGCTTTGTATTTATTTTGTAAACAAATAGCAATCAATTGAATGACTCACTGATCGCAGCAATAATTAAATTGACAAACATTTAGTCCATAAGAAGATGTCATTCATGAAAATCGATATCAATTGGTCACCCTTTCCGGACAGGTATGTCTCGTCTATACCATCGATGATATGGTTTATTTGTTTAGCATTTGTTTGACAAATGATTTGTGAAATTGGTGTCAATTTTGTGCTAAAGATTCATAACATTTGGAAACGACTTAAAACTGTTTCAATGCGAGACTTTCGCTAAGGAGGTGCACAAGAGTTTCGGTAATATTGTGGTGTTTTTCATGATAACTGATGTGAGACTAATGAGACACGTGTTGACCACCGATAGCAGGCACTCAACTGTCGGACACCACGTCGGCCACCATAATCGCCACCAATAGTGACGTACAGTTTGTCAAAGTATGGATCCATTGATTGAGACAATAGTGTGGTGTTTGTCCACCATTTGATTCATTGATTGTACTTTCAGTGCATTGCAATCAATCCGAAGACAATTCACTTGGAAAACGATGTGTTGGTGGCGACGGGACAGACGTCTGGCAAAGTACTGCTCACGTGTTTCCGGTATAATCCGGACAACTACGGAGTGGTGGGCCGAGAGTTTGTGCCCAAACACCCGCGACAATGCAATTGTCTTGACTGGAGTGAAACGGATCCCAATATGGTATGCCATCCGAGTGTGCGATTGGATGCGATTGTAATATGCGATTGCGTTTGAAATCAGTTGAGCGCCGGNTTAATAACACAATTTGAGTAATTTTCTAATTGTATGATTAAATTATGAAATTTCATGTCCAGTCGTGCGGAACAACTAATTGCACGAAAATCATATGCACTGTCTATGAGTTGGATACAAACGATACCGTATTATTCACAATACGCTCCCGTTTTTGGAAGGAGAACATAGAGCTCATCAATTTGGAGGAGTTCCAGATCTCATCCAAATTAGTGGCTTTAGTCACATCATTGCCGTACGACGTCGATCACAGCCTACTACTGCCATACATACAGACCGTTTCCACCAAAATCTATGTCACCGGACTCGACAGGACGGAACCCATTCCACTCTGGATTATCATATTAGCCATAGTCATCGGTTTACTCATTTTGGGCGGACTCGCGCTCGCACTCTGGAAGTTAGGCTTCTTTAAGCGCAAACGTCCGCCGAGTGATAGCGCCGACAGAGAGCCGCTTCAGTCCCGCAACGGCTATCACTACCGCAAAGGCGACACATCCTTATAATGACCGACAGAGTTATCATCATTTTTATATAAATTGATTTTTTGTCTCAAACAACACTTTTATTTAATTAATGCAATGATTTTTTCATTCAATGAAACACATTCTCCTAAACTAAAGACTGAATTGAATTTTAAAAATAGAGTCATAAAAATATGTAATAATAGTAAATCATATTTAATAACTACAGAATCCAATTCAACACTCATTTTTCAACTAAATCTGTGAATTGAGTTGATATTCAAAACTCATTTTCAGACACAAAATGAGAGATTCTTTATATTCATTATAATAATAAAGACATCGATTGAGAGCATCTATTAATGACATGAAGAATATGAGAGAAGAATACCATTAGAAGTCTTTCATATATATAAAGATAATAACGCGACAAAAGAAATACTTAATCCGATAATACAATCGACAAAGAAATGAAAAAACTTATCAAAAGAATACTTAAATTAAGTTTTTTCCTATAAATGTCTGCCAAATGAAATGAAAACTAATGAGAATTCTATGCAATTCCGGACACATTATATCATAACACAAGTTGCGAACTAATAGTAATGAAAATTTAAAACAATCACGAAAATAATAATCATTTTCATGACTAGTGATGGAAAAGACAATTTTATTATTATTTTCTGTGTGTTTGTCACTCAAGTGATAACTGCGGCACTATTTTATCGCTCATACATTTTCTCCGTGACATTCAATCTCTTTATTAACAATACGTGAGAATAATATTAATTCAAATAACGTGTCCTTTTTATATATTCTTTGTTTGCAGTGAAAGAGATTTAAAAAACTCAAATATAAACATAAAATATATATTTTACGACAGAAACTACTCGCAGAGTATTTATAGGAAAAATTTTATCGATTAGTTTTCAGACGAAAAGACATCTAAAAAGCTGTTAAAAACCTATGAGGATATGGATTGAAATGCACTGCACTTCATATCAAGTGATGAAAATGCAAAATATATTCATCAAAACATATATATCTGTTGTGAACAACGATTTTGCCATTTATTAGTTCCAGTCATCAGACAAAAACGACAACTAATCCAATAGTTTTGTAAATTCTAATTCAATGTATGATTTGCTAAACAAATTATATTTAAATTTAATTTAATTAACATTACTTTTGAGTCATTTTAATTTAAAGGCTTTTTGATTATTTACTAAAAAACTTTAAAAAACTAAACTATTATTTAAAAATGAAAACATGTATTATATAATAAAATAAAATAATTTTATTAATGAAAAATCACGTCAGGATTATATAACAAAAAACATATTTTTTGAAAAAATAATTGATTTGAGAAAAACATTTTACAAAAGTCGTAATGAGATACAAATATAAATGTCTTTTTTATATATGTCTACAAAAAACTATTTCATTCTTTAATTGATTGCAAAAAAAACATTTATTTTAATTAATTGAATGGAAGAATCAGAATCTATTGCATGAGTTCTGTGTGTAATGAATGAGGTATTGATTAAAGCCTATCGTTTTAGGATTCGTGTAATAAATAAGAAAATTGTTTGGAAAACCATATCTAAAGTCAATTTCTAGACACTTATATTAGAGGAAAGTTTGGAATTGGCGTCTAATGACATGCACTTACACTCACAACCGGCCACCGGACAGTTCACGTGCTCATTGAACCACTGGATTATATGCGAGGCGTGTCCCCCGTGCCGGCACGTCTGACACCACGTGAACCACGAGTTAAATTGACTTAATTTTCTCTCACTTTTATTGAACGTAATCCCTGGCCGCCAATACTGACCGCCAGGTGTGCCCAAATGCGTGAGACAGAGCGCACACCGGGGCAATGGTTTGCGACACGTGGGGCAGCTCTGGATGCGGGCGTTCTTGTTAGTGGATGGCGTGGAAATGCTTCGGTTGTGCTGATGGTGTGACAGTTGGTGTTGGTATGTCTCCTGGGCTTTCACCGATTTGGCGCGACTTATGTATGAACTGATGGGAAGTCCGCAGTAATTGCACGAAACAAATATGTGTTGCTTTGGTTCCTTCAAGTGATACAACGCTTTATACCACTCGATGTCAAACTGTGCCCTAATGTTCCAGAGGCGCCAACAGTCCAGTAGTTGGCGGTAACTCTCGGTCCACCACTTGGCTCTCGGCGTCTGACAGATAGGACTCGGAAGCGCTTTCAGCAGAATTAGACTAATTGTCTGCACATCACTCGTGCGCTCGATATATCGGGCAAATAAGTCGAGTCCTTCGTTAGTGACTCCCGTCAACAGTATTCCCCTTAAGTTTCCGCTTTCAGTCATCGTTTGGTGCAAATAGTTTAAGTAATCGCACAACTGTTCAGTCAAATCAATCACACATTCATTCATCGCTTAAGGAATCATGTCTTAAACAACTTACCAATGAGTCTGAGAGGTATATACAGGCAAATGCTATTCTGTCGGCGATATCCAGTTTTGAGTCATACTATAAGTCATTATAAATAAGTTATTTGCAATGAATTAAAAATAAGTGCAAACATTTATAACTCACCAGAATTTCTGAAAAAGTCTCTGAATCGGTGGTCAGAAATGTAAAGATTGCTCTGAGATAATGGTCGGAGAGTTGAATCTGAATGCTCTGACACATCTCACGCCATAAGGAATTCCTATCCTTCGTATAACCCGAAAGAGCTAAAGCTATGGCATTAAACGAGTTCTCTTTAAGCACTTCTGCGCCCACTTTCAGCGTATTAATCGCTTTCTTAATCTTTCCGCCGCCGAAGATCAGTACGGCTGCCGATCGGGTGTACTGTCCGCTCGCTTCCAAAGTCTCCACTAAACGCGAGTTCTGGAGCACGGATTCAAAGTTAGAATCCCATCCGCAATGCATTAGAGCTCTCTTTCTGTACATTTCAAACACCAAATAAATCCAAATTTACATCTCATTCAATGAACAAAATACAAACTTAACAACACTTACCGATCGCTACTCTTATAATACTTCTTAATTATGGTATTCGAGAGATTCTTATCGGTAGAGTTATTATCATTGGAAACCAAGACAACTTCGCTCTGTTCCCTAAGTCTGGTCTGAGATATGTTAGTCTGCATGAGAACAGACCGCACGCCATACAAGCGCTGCGGATCGTGTGAACTGAACAACTCCTCCTCGTTAGTGATGGCGCTGTTCTTAGTGGCCAGCGATGTGTTCTTGTCCTCGGATATAATGCGAGATTCAATCCATTTCCACACATTATAGAGATCATCCTTACAGAACTGCGAGTCCGGTCCAAATATTTGCCATAATTTGTCATTCTGTACGAAACAGTTCATTAAAAATTAGCAAATATTCAATACCTTTTCGTACAGAAACCCTTACATTAAGGCCGTAACCATTTAGCGCAAGATTTCTCATTAGCACTGATATGTCATCAATAGATTCATAGACACTATCTCTGGAATCAATGCACTGCAGAATTTTCTTGCCGTGGGTCCAGATTATCTCGGAAACCGGTGACCAATTCTAACACATTTAATACAATATAATCAGATTATAGGCAATAATTAACGCACAGATATGGAGACAAACCAAAGTCATTCTCTCAACGACTGTAAAGTCACGCAAAGAACCGGATGGCGTGACGACAATCATTCGTGACTCGTGTGACGGATGCCATGAAAATGAGGATAATTTGCATTTATTCGACACTAAACGCAAGAATAGTTTTAGAAAAATGACACAAAACCAAGAAAATAACGTACATTCGTATGGATTGACAATCCTGTCAATGATGGCCGGCTCTAAATCGTTGTTTGCGTTCACGTAATCTTTAATATCATAAAGTTTAATACCGGAGCCGTCGCGGATAAGTGAGGCCAACATATTAGATCTGGTGGGACACCACTCGATCTTCACTATATTCCTGGGCTCCGGGCCTATAGTGGTCACCGGCTTATCTATGTTACGGATATCCCACACGAATATATTGTTCTTTGCATACAAAACAAATACTCAATAAATAAATTGCTATAAAACTAAACAATTGGTTCATTACTTCAAAAAAAGACGCAAATCTATTCTCATAGTAGGGATCCAACGCCAGTCCGTAAACACCTTTAGTGAGCGTTGCCTTTGGTTTACCGGAATCTCTCAAATCAAATATCTTCAGGTGTTTGGTATTCATTCCGCAGACAATCAGTTGCTTCTGATATGACAGCCATTTCAGTGAATGAGTCCACTCTCCGAACGCCAACTCATACAACGGCTTTTGGTAATAGTTTTGAGTGCTGTCTGTCATTGGGTTGGCCTGCCTTTGGACGTCCCAAACATATGTCGCGAAATCGTTACGAAACTTATCAAAGCCGGCGCTCAACTGATTTCAAACGCAATCGCATATTACAATCGCATCCAATCGCACACTCGGATGGCATACCATATTGGGATCCGTTTCACTCCAGTCAAGACAATTGCATTGTCGCGGGTGTTTGGGCACAAACTCTCGGCCCACCACTCCGTAGTTGTCCGGATTATACCGGAAACACGTGAGCAGTACTTTGCCAGACGTCTGTCCCGTCGCCACCAACACATCGTTTTCTAAGTGAATTGTCTTCGGATTGATTGCAATGCACTGAAAGTACAATCCATACAAACAATCAATGAATCAAATGGTGGACAAACACCACACTATTGTCTCAATCAATGGGTCCATACTTTGACAAACTGCACGTCACTATTGGTGGCGATTATGGTGGCCGACGTCGTGTCCGACAGTTGAGTGCCTGCTATCGGTGGTCAACACGTGTCTCATTAGTCTGACATCATTATCATGAAAAACACCACAATATTACCGAAACTCTTGTGCACCTCCTTAGCGAAAGTCTCGCATTGAAACAGTTTTAAGTCGTTTCCAAATGTTATGAATCTTTAAATCATTTGTCAAACAAATGCTAAACTAATCAAACATATCATCGATGGTATAGTCGAGACATACCTGTCCGGAAAGGGTGACCAATTGATATCGATTTTCATGAATGACATCTTCTTATGGACTAAATGTTTGTCAATTTAATTATTGCTGCGATCAGTGAGTCATTCAATTGATTGCTATTTGTTTACAAAATAAATACAAAGCAATGCAATGTTTGCCGTAAGATATTGATAATAAAGTTTGTTACATATTTACCCAATTTTATGCTACCCTTTAGCCCCTTAGCATTCATTCACACACAGATAACCTGTTTTATCACTTTTATCATCTATTACGCTATATATTGATTGGACACACATTGCCTGTGACTGACATCTACTGTAAAATTATATGAAACTTGCATTTTATTACATAGTTTTTAGTGTTTCAAATAACCCTATAAATACATTATGCTTTGGTACTTTTTATAACAATGATATCATATCTATTTAACACATTACCTCTAAATATAAATGTTACGAAATATCAAAATCAGTTACTTGTATATTACATAACATATGAAAGTGAATTGAATTTAAAAGTAAAATCTAATGAAATGTTAATTAAAATTAATTGCATTTGAATTGCATTTAAATAATCAGACAATCGGTTTAATCGATACCTAAGAGGTCTGTCCGCGCGAAGAGGTATCGATCGGTGTGTTTGGCAGTGAATGATAATGAAATGTTAATTAAAATTAATTGCATTTGAATTGCATTTAAATAATCAGACAATCGGTTCAATCGATACCTAAGAGGTCTGTCCGCGCGAAGAGGTATCGATCGGTGTGTTTGGCAGTGAATGTCACCACGAGTTGGTCCCAAGTTTGCGGCCACCGATCGGTCGCTTGAAAAGAAACCCTCTTTTAAATTGTGGTTAAAAGACAATTAAAAGACAATTCAATTGAATCCAAGATGTCTTCAGCACCGGTAGAGATGTCTTCTGAACAGCTGATGAATACTTACCGCTCGTATGTCTCGCTTCTGTTGGACTCCAACGCCAGAGAAGAGAACAAACTGAAAGCCGTTCAGGAGTTGAGCGAAGACTTGGAGGTATGTCTTAATCGCATCCATAGTTGACATTCTCATGATATTACCAATGAATCTATGATTAAGTCATTTGTCTCTAAAGACAAATGTGTTGTTTGGAGACAATTGAGTGTCTGTTGGTGTGATTAATACCAATTTAATGGTGTGTTTTATGTGCAGACAATCGTGTCTTCACCACAATATTCATCATTTTTGGATCACATGATGAATGTCTTCATCAAAATACTACTCGAAGGCGAACCACAATTCATAGCCGAACAGAATGGCCAACAGTTGAGGAAACTATTACTGGAGATAATCCACAGATTGCCGGTCAATGAGGCCCTCCGCGCCCACCAGAAGAACATCACTTCATTGATGTTCAAACTCTTGGAGGTATTGTACCGGCGATTGTCAGCCATTTGAACACAAATTAATTGATTTGATGCCATCTCTTCAGACGGAGAACGAGGAGAATGTGTTGGTTTGTCTTCGGATTATTATAGAACTCCACAAACAATATCGTCCGCCGTTTAGCGAAGAGGTCTGTACTTTACTCTCACTTCACTCATGAGTTAGACTTTATTGTTGAAACAAATGATGGAAAACAAGAGATTATTTGAGTGTCAATTGAATGGTTTCTTTGTATGGCATCACAGCCTTTCTCTTGAGCTATGATTGTAATAATAGCTGATAAGATCTGATGACAATCTGTTTTCAAGCATTTCTTACAATTTTCTTAATACCAGTTTTGTCTTTAATGTCTTATTCTTTCATCTAATCGTTGGTTTAGATCAAGAATTTTCTCCAATCTGTCAAAAGGATATACAAAGACTTGCCCTCAAACTTAACGAAAATTTTTGAGCCCAGGGCTGCCATTAAGGTGTCCGACATATCCGAAGTCAATATCGAAGCCCTTTTAGGCGAAACCTTTACCATTACTAATATACAGACCGGCGCTAATCCTGACGGGACTGTCATATCACTCAATTTGATCCCTAGAGCTATTCTGTCACTTAAAGTGTTGGCCGAACTGCCGATTATTGTGGTATTGATGTATCAGTTATACAAAAACAATGTCCATCAGGACGTGTCTGAATTCATACCATTGATTATGATTACGATTACACTTCAACCCACACAAGCGCACCGGTATGAGTGGTATAAGAATGCTATGAATTGAAATGATTTACTAATGAATCCATTATTAGATCAAATCCGGCCTTTAATAAAGAAGTTTACGTCGACTTCATGGCCGCACAGATCAAAACGCTGTCATTCCTGGCATACATTGTCCGCATTTATCAGGATATCGTGAAATCGCATTCAAATCAACTCGCCAGAGGAATGTTAGGTCTCCTGACATACTGTCCCCAAGAAGTGGCGCATCTGAGGAAAGAGCTATTGATAGCCGCCCGACATATATTGGCCACTGATCTCAGAATAAGTAAATGAAAACAAATCTAATTTAAACGAAAACTTAATTCTAATGGTTTTATTTGCTTAAAGACTTTGTCAGCTCTATTGAGCAGCTGTTTGAGGAGAATATTCTGATCGGAAACGGGTGGACAGCCTATGACTCGTTGAGACCACTGGCGTACAGCACTGTCGCCGATTTGGTGCATCACATCCGAAACCACTTACCACTGAAAGACTTGGCGTCAGCCGTGAATGTGTTCTCTAAGAACGTTCACGACGAGTCCCTCCCCACCTCTATTCAGACCATGTCTTGCAAACTATTGCTTAATTTAGTGGAATGTATTCGTCAGAAGTCGGAACAGGATCTCAGTGTCAACGCCCGCGAACTCCTCATGAGAATGCTTGAGGTGTTTGTCATCAAATTCAAGAACATATCGACGCTTCAGTTGCCGGCTCTCATCAATAAGGCGAAGCCGAGTCCCACCCCAACCACTGCCGCCGTTACACAACCGGCCACTCCTGCCGTCGTCGACGCCATTAAGTTTGAAGACGTGAAGTTCGCCGTAAGCTTTCCGTCGGGTATTGGCGAAGCCATGGCTAAGGACGACAAACCCAAGTTTGGATTCCCCGCCTCTCCGGCCATCAACTATTCAGTGGCCGACTGTCGCAGTTTAGTCAAGACATTGGTTTGTGGTGTGAAGACCATCACGTGGGGTATCCCTTCGTTCAAACTCCCCAACGAACCCATACAACCGACCAATCAAAACATCAAACAATTTCATCCCAAAGAGACCATTGTTTTCATTCGGTTAGTCAAGTATGCGATGCAAGCGCTCGACATATATTCCCTGACCGGCGCCACCACTCCCAGCGCTGTGCCCGCCGTTGGCATCAATCAGCCGGCGCTCAGACCGCCAGTCATGCAAACGGTTCGCTCAAAAGAGGAGAAGGAAGTGTTGGAACACTTCGCCGGTGTCTTCACGACTATGAATCCGCAGACATTCAATGAGGTCTTCTCAACGACTATCGACTTCGTTGTCGACAGAATTAACTCGAATTATGCGCTACAGATAGTGGCCAACAGTTTTCTCGCCAACCCTCAGACGTCACCGATTTTTGCCACAATTCTTGTCGAGTACTTACTCGAGAGGATGGAGGAAATGGGATCTAATGTGGAAAAATCCAATCTATACCTCAAACTCTTTAAACTAGTGTTCGGTTCCGTCTCACTGTTTGCCGCAGAGAACGAACAGATGCTTAAACCACATCTTCACTCCATTGTGAACCGATCCATGGAGTTGGCCCTCACCGCCAAAGAGCCCTACAATTACTTCTTATTATTAAGAGCTCTGTTCCGATCAATCGGTGGTGGAAGTCATGACCTGCTCTATCAAGAGTTTCTGCCACTCCTTCCGAGCCTTCTTCAGGGTCTCAATAGTCTTCAAAGCGGTTTACATAAGCAACACATGAAAGACCTGTTCGTTGAGCTCTGCCTTACAGTTCCCGTACGACTCAGTAGTCTATTGCCATACCTTCCTATGCTTATGGATCCATTAGTATCAGCACTGAATGGATCGCAAACTCTTGTGAGTCAAGGACTGCGAACGCTTGAGCTCTGTGTCGACAATCTTCAGCCAGACTTTCTGTACGAACACATCCAACCCGTTAGGGCAGAGCTGATGCAAGCGCTGTGGAGAACACTACGAAATCCAGCCGACAATATATCTCAGGTGTCGTTCCGAGTGTTGGGAAAGTTTGGCGGCGGGAACAGGAAGATGATGACTGAACCCCAGAAGTTGGAGTTCAATGAGAACAGAGAGGGATTCAATACAAACGGCTCCACAATTGTGGTCCACTTTCAAGAGCACAGAACTGCCATTAATTTGCCGATCGATAGAGTGATCGAAACAGCGTTCAATGCACTCAAGTCGTCGAGTACTGACCCGTTCTATAGGAAGCAGTGCTGGGAAGTGATTAAAGGCTTTCTCGCCGCACATATACAACAACAGGCGGAAGAGGAGAAGTATCGGATCCAACACTTCTTCAATCACCAAAGTTTCACCACAACTGAGATCAACCCAATTCAGGGCCCGTTCTATAAGTGTTCGGACAGTGAGCTGCGGAAAGTGCACGAAATGGCGCTGACGGGGATGTTTGTGGCCGTCGCCATCAAAGAGTTGCGTTCAGTGGTCCTACCGTTTATGGTGTCTATCGTCCGGCACTACACTCTGGTGGCCATTAGTCAACAGTGCGGACCAATCAATTTGGGGGGCCGTCAGCACAAACTGCAAGGCATGGATCCCTTGGTATTCATCGATGCGGTGGCGGCCATAATGGGTCACGAAGAGAAAGAGCTGTGCAAACCGGGCCACTGGGCGCTCATATTCATTCTGGACACTGCCATCGCTGTGTTGGGCAGTAAGGAGAGGGCGTGTCAACTGCCGCTCTATGAATATCTGGTGGAGCGCATGTGTTCGTTATGCTACGACAGGGCCTGGTATGCCAAACTCGGCGGTTGTATTGCCATTAAGTTCCTGTTTGAGAGAATGACTCTGAAGTGGGTCTTCGGACACCAATACGTGTTACTGAAGGCACTGCTGTTTGTGATGATGGATCTGACGGGAGAGGTGTCGTCGGGTGCGGTTGATATGGCGAAAGCGAATCTCGAGAAAATGCTGACATATTGCGGAACTCCTATAGTGGCCGACGGCACCAACAGTGACTTAATCGATGCCCAACGCAAGTCTCTGCATGAGGTGACCCAAGAGCTGGTCCGTCAGGTGACGTCACCGAACACTTGCGTCAGAGAACAGGCCATACATTCGCTGGAAGTGTTGGCCAAAGTGAGCGAGAAGAGTGTGACACAGATAATGGAGCCGCACAGAGACATATTGGCGGACATGATTCCACCCAAAAAGCATTTACTCCGTCACCAACCCGTCAACGCACAGATCGGGCTCATGGATGGCAACACATTCTGCACGACATTAGAGCCCAGACTCTTCACGATCGACATCACTATCAACGAACACAAGGTCTTCTTCAGCGAACTCTACTCCCTGTGCGACGCCGAGGACTCGACACTCATTAAGTTTCCGTGTTATAAGAATGTGACAAATCTGGTGCCACTGCGGAAGTCGGCGCTCCGGGCGCTGTCCGCCTGTCATTACATCCAACAGTGCAAAGACAAGATATTTGTCGTACTCATGAAGGCATTGAACGCCAAAGACATGGATTTGCAGCAAACGGGCTATGAATGCATGAAAAAGTTCATTAGTCACGTGCACATCGAGAAGGATGTGCTCACATCCAACCTGAGGCCACATCTGATCACTTTGGGTGACTTCCGGTCACTTAATCTCAATGTTATCCAAAAGATATCATTTATGACACAATTATTTCCCGATATATTCAATGAAAAACTATGCGAACAAATGATCGCACATTTGAGACAATGGGCGGACACAGCCATCCGTTCCCAACGAACCGGTCAGAAGAATACGGAAGAGCTGAAGATTTGCGCCGCGATTATCAATCTGTTCCACGAGATAATGGCCGCCAGCGCTAAGTTTGTCGAACACCTGTTGATACTGGTGTTCAAGACTGAGAAGCAGATTATGATCGAACCGGGGAGTAAACTCCGGGAACCGCTCAGAAAGTTCTTAAAGCGATATCCGGAACAGACCATTGAATTACTGTTTATCGAACGCAATATGTTTGAGGACCAGATCTTCAGATTCGTTAAGTTTCTACTAAAAGGCAGTGGCGGACAGACTTTCCGACAGATTGTGGGCTTAAAGCCATTTAAACTCGTGAAGATGGCCAAAGCGCCGGTCGTTATTCAGGAAAGAGTTCCCGTTACGGCTCCCTCTCCTCAACCATCGCCACAGCCCTCGCCCTCACCTCAGGGCGCACCAGAGGGCGCGGCCACCCCTCCCGTCGCTGTCTCGCCTCTACCGCAACAGACGAAGACAGTGCCCGTCACTTATGACCTCCAATTCCAGGCCATTTCCATCACCACTATTCTCGTCAAATATGACGAGCAATGGATCGCATTGCCCGCGCAGAAGGAACTCGTGGACACTCTTAAGCAGGTCTGGAGTTCGGACGCCTTTCACAGCAAATACGTGAACAACGAATGCAATGATTATATCCATTGGAAAGAACCCAAACTGTTGGCCAAATGTTTGCTCAATTACTTCAGACAACATCCCTCTGACATCGAGCTCCTGTTCCAACTGTTGCGCGCATTTATGGGCAGATATTTGTGTGAATTTGATTTCTTGAGGGACTTCCTCGAGAACACAGTCGCCAGTAATTACACGATTGAGTGGAAACGGCAGGCCTTCTTCAAGTTCGTTGAAGTGTTTCACAACATGTCATACCCTCAGGAACTGAAGGCCAAAATACTGCAGTACGTGATCGTCCCGGCCTTCAGTATATCGTTCGAGAGGGGAGAGGGAGAGAAACTGATTGGCGGACCGCCGGCGCCCGAACACGACAACAAAGACAACCTCATCAGCGTATTCATCACACAAGTGATCGATCCGGAGAACCCGTTCGGGATGTCCGACTCGGTGCGCATACTATTGCTGCAGTTCTCGTGCCTATTAGTAGAACAGGCGTCCCCTCACATCCACGACGCCGCCAACAAACGACAGGGAAATAAGTTGCGACGACTCATGACGTTCGCGTGGCCGTGCCTTTTGGCCAAGAACTGTGTAGACCCGGCCACCAAATATCACGGGCACCTACTGCTCGCCCACATTATCGCCAAATTTGCGATCCATAAGCGCATTGTTCTGCAGGTGTTTCACAGTCTCCTCAAAGCGTTTGCAGTGGAGGCGCGGACTGTCGTACGCCAGGCGCTGGAGATTCTGACGCCGGCTATGCCTCAGCGCATGGAAGACGGGAACACTATGTTAACCCATTGGACCAAAAAGATTATCGTCGAAGAGGGACACACTTTGGCCCAATTGGTCCATATGTTGCAACTCCTCGTCCGCCACTACAAAGTCTATTATCCCGTTCGCCATCATCTCATCCAACATATGGTCACTTCTGTGCAACGCTTGGGATTCACTCCGAACGCGACGATTGAACACAAGAAAATTGCTGTCGATTTGGTGGAAGTGATCATCAGATGGGAGTTCACGAGAATACGTGACGAACAGGAACACATCGCCAGTCCATTGCCGATGGTTGTGGACAGCCCTACCACTATTGCGCAGAGGACTGCCCGTCCCAGCGCTTTGCCATCAGTCCCCGGTATTAGACCAATGCCTGCGGACAGTAATAAACCCATAGATAAGATGCATTCGGACGCTGTGGTGAACTTTCTGTTACGACTGGCCTGTCATGTCAACGAAACCACGACGGCCGTCGGCTCTAACGGCGAACTCCTGTCCCGGCGTTGTGTCAGTCTCTTGAAGAATGCGCTCAAACCTGAGGTGTGGCCCAACTCTGACCTCCGACTCCAATGGTTTGACAAACTGTTGGCGACAGTAGAACAACAACAGCCAAACTATGGCAACATCTGTACTGCACTGGAACTGCTCTGCTTTTTGTTGACAATCCTTCGTAAGGAAGCCGTTCTCAACAGTTTTAAGCCCTTACAGAAGGGCATCGCCTCATGCATGACATGCAATAACTCGAAAGTGATTCGTTCGGTGCATAACCTACTGTCCCGTCTGATGAATATGTTTCCCCCGGAACCGACCACATCGACGGTCGCCTCCAGACATGACGAACTCGACGCTCTCTATCAGGCGGTCAACAAAATAATACACGAAGGGCTCAACGCCTACGAAAAGAACACGACGGCCTCCCCGTCCTCTCTGTTCAGCACTTTAATGATCTTAAAGGCCGCCTGTCTTAACAATCCCTGTTATATCGATCGACTGATTACGCCATTCATGAGAGTGCTGCAGAAGATGGCCCGCGACCACCTCCAACCCCCCACACCCGCTGAGCTCAACACTCCAATGGGTACTGAACTCCTTATATTGAGTCTCGATTTGGTTAAGAATCGCATCGGAGTTATGGGTCAAGAGATGAGAAAAGCATTCATTCAGACAATACTCGTCGGACTCATCGAGAAGTCGACCGATTCTAAAGTGATGAAAGCGATCACCAAAATGGTCGAGGATTGGGTCAAAAACAAGGGTCCGTACGGTGCGAATCAGGCGCCGATACTGCGTGAAAAGGCACTACTGTTGGTGCGAATGATGCAACACATAGAGAAGCGCTTCCCCGACGACCTCGAACTGAACGCTCTGTTCCTCGAACTCATAATCTATGTCTACAGAGAGGAGCCGCTGAAGAACAGCGATCTGACGCCCAAATTGGAGCCGGCATTCATGGCAGGCCTTCGTTGCATTCAACCCCATATTAGGGCCAAATTCTTCGAAGTATACGACGCGTCGATGAGGAGACGACTCCACGAGCGACTCATGTATATCGTGTGCTCTCAGAACTGGGAGACAATCGGACAACACTTTTGGATCAAACAGTGCATTGAGTTACTGATGATCACAGCCGTCAACAATGTGCCCATACAGTCGGCCAACCCGTCGGCGATGTTGCCGTCAGTGATGTCTGTCATAAGTTTGGGCGACTCTCTAGAGAAGGCGTCGTTTGCAAACCTATCGCAAGAGCCCATCGAAATGGATGTCTCGCCGCCCGACAAAGACGACGAGGATATGGTTGACATCGAACTGAATGCCAGTGAAGAGGCGCGCGGGGCTGTCATCGGTCTCAACGACCCGCTGACCACCAGTGTGTTGGCCGCCGGTGGGGTTCGCCGTCCGTCCACTCCCTTAGACCCGAAACAACACTTGCAGTCGATTCTGTTGAGACAAACAAAGTTTTTGGACGGTTTGCAGGAGAGCCGTGTGATCACATTCCTCACTTCTATGTCCCAACTCTGCCATATGGACACATCGCTCGCACAACACATTTGGATCCAATTGTTTCCGCGAATCTATAAGATTCTCAGCGATAGGCAACAGAATTTACTATCACTGGAGATCGTGCCGTTCCTCTGCTCTGGCAGTCACGTGGTTCAGAAGGATCACCACCCGAGCGCTGTGGGCACCTTCATGGAGGCGGTGGCCCTGTGCTCGCCCGCCATCACAATCAGGCCCTGTTTGTTGCGATATTTAGGCAAATCTCATAACCTGTGGCATAGGGCGGCCCTATTGCTGGAGAACGCCTTCGAGAGGGTCCACGCACTGAACCCACCGCCCAATCAGCCGAAGACAACGCGCTCCACGTCCGGCACAGACTACGACTTCGAGTCGGTCTCATTCCCGGCGTTGTCTCAATCGCAGGAGGCGTTGGACGCGTTGGCAGACATTTACGAACTGCTCAAAGAGGAGGACCTGTGGGCCGGACTCTGGCAGAAGCGGGCGAAGTATAACGAGACTCACATCAGTATATCCTTTGAACAGCAGGGATACTTCGAACAGAGTCAGGGCGCATATGAACTGGCTATGAGTAAAGCCCGCAACGACTACAACACCAGTGCCTCTCCCGTCTCACTCCAGGGAGAGTACAGACTATGGGAACGACACTGGATTCGGTGCTCCAAAGAACTCAATCAATGGGATCTACTGTTAGATTACGGCAACTCCAAGAGCTGTGGCAACCCGTTCCTAGTGTTGGAGAGCGCCTGGAGAGTCCCCAACTGGTCACTCATGAAGGACTCGCTATTCCAAGTGGAGGCCAACTGTCCCAAAGAGATGGCGTGGAAAGTGGCGCTCTATAAGGGCTATAATGCCATTTGCAATGCCGATGAACACAACTTAGCAATGGTTGACAAAATGGTTGAGTTGTCGACCAATCTGTGTATCAAAGAGTGGCGCCGTTTGCCGCACGTTGTCTCTCAGGTGCATATCGTGCTCTTACAGGCGGCCCAACAGATAATGGAGCTCCAGGAGGCCGGACAGATACACCAGGGGCTGCTGCCCACTAATTTGGGCCGCAGTTCCAGCCTTCACGACATGAAAGCCATTGTGAAGACGTGGCGCAACAGACTCCCAGTACTCGCCGACGACCTCAGCCACTGGTCAGACATCTTCACGTGGAGACAACACCACTATCAGGCAATTGTCTCGCACTATGACTCAAACAACTCCATTGCCAATGCGGCCAACGCTACCAATCAGGCCGTCCAGAACGCCCTGAATGCCGGCCCCCAGACAGACCCGCAGGCGTCGCACGCAATGCTCGGAGTGCACGCCTCCGCCCAGTCTATCATCCATTACGGAAAGATCGCCCGAAAGCATAATCTCGTCAGCGTTTGTCTCGACTCACTCAACAGAATACATACCATTCCGTCCGTTCCTATCGTCGACTGCTTCCAGAAGATCCGCCAACAAGTCAAGTGTTACCTCCAGTTGGCGAACACAATGGGCAAGAATGAGCTCCAGGAGGGGCTCGAAGTGATTGAGTCGACAAACTTGAAGTACTTCTCCAAAGAAATGACGGCCGAGTTCTATGCACTGAAAGGTATGTTTTTGGCGCAAATCGGCCGCTCGGATGAGGCCAACAAAGCGTTCAGCGCCGCCGCACAACTGCACGACACTCTCGTCAAGGCGTGGGCTCTTTGGGGCGATTACTTGGACTCTATGTTCACACGCGACCGATGGGAGAGCCGGCAAATGGAGTTGGGAGTGTCGGCGCTCACCTGCTATCTGCACGCCTGTCGCCACCAGAATGAGAGCAAAGCGCGCAAGTATTTGGCGAAAGTCTTGTGGCTCTTGTGCTACGACGACGACAAGTTCTCGTTAGCCGAAGCCGTCGAGAAGTACAACGTAGGCGTTCCCCCCAACAGTTGGCTCCCGTGGATCCCGCAGTTGATGACATGTCTGGTCAGGAATGAGGGCAAACTCATTATGAATATCGTGTCACATGTGGGCCGAGTCTTCCCACAAGCCGTTTACTTCCCCATCAGAACACTGTATTTGACACTAAAGATGGAACAGAGAGAGAAAATCAAGACAATGGCTCTCATGAGCGCCGCCCACAACGCTGGCCCACAGACCCCACAACCGCCTCAAACACCGGCCAAACTACCCGTTTCCACGTCTTCACAACCGGACAATCAGAGCACACCCACTGAAGCCCAACAACTGCCACAAACACCCGTTCCTCCACAGACGCCACAACAACAATCACTCCCCGACACTCAATACAGAGCCACTCAACCGATGTGGAGGTGCTCTCGCATAATGCATATGCAACGGGAACTGCACCCCACCATACTGTCCTCACTGGAAGGCATAGTCGACCAAATGGTGTGGTTTCGTGAGAACTGGTACGAGGAGGTGTTACGACAGTTGCGTCAGGCGTTGGCCAAGTGTTATGCCGTGGCCTTCGAGAACAGGGCTAACGTGGCCGAGGCTTCAGTCACTCCAAACACATTGAATTTTGTCAAAAAACTGGTCTCCACTTTCGGCATTGGAATCGAGAACGTGTCGAGCAGTCAGTCGGCGCCCAACTTCGCGACGGCCGCCTCCGAGTCGCTCGTGAAGAGGGCTCAGGCGACCGCTCAGGACCCGGTCTTCCAGAAAATGAAGGGTCAGTTCACCACTGATTTCGACTTTAGCGCTCCCGGAGCTATGAAACTGCATAATCTGATCACAAAACTCAAGAAATGGATTAAAATACTGGAGGCGAAGACCAAACTGTTGCCAAAATCACTGCTCATCGAAGAGAAGTGCAAAATATTGAGTAATTTCTCGCAACAGACGGCAGACGTGGAACTCCCCGGAGAGTTCCTGTTACCCAAGCAAAGCAATTATTACGTGAGAATCGCCCGCTTTATGCCCAGAGTCGAGATCGTCTCCAAACACAACACCGCCGCCCGACGGCTCTACATACGCGGCCACAACGGCAAGATCTACCCCTACCTCGTGGTGAACGACTCGTGTCTGAGCGACGCCCGACGAGAGGAACGGGTGCTTCAATTGCAACGACTACTGAACCACTATTTGGGTAAACAGAAAGAGACGGCCAAACGGTTCCTGCACTTCACTGTCCCGCGAGTGGTGGCCGTCAGCCCTCAGATGCGTTTAGTGGAGGACAACATCAGCTCTATATCGCTGTTAGATATATACAAACAGAGGAACGCCCGCAGAGGCACCGAACACGACGCCCCCATAGCCAAGTACTACGACCGGTTGGCCAACGTTCAGTCCCGGGGCTCACAGGCCAGTCATCAGGTGTTGCGCGACATTCTCAAAGACATTCAGACGACTATGATTCCCATCGGACTCATCAAGGAGTGGGCCATTCAGACGTTCCCCTCCGCCACCGATTTGTGGACTTTTAGGAAACAGGTTTTCCATACCATTCAACACTATTTCGTCTCATTTGACACTAAATGTGAACATTTTTTTTGTAAACTTTTTAGTTTACACTTCAGTTATCTTTGGCCGCATTCGCTGAATATGTGCTGCATTTGACTCGACTTAACCCTGAGATGATGTACATTCATCAGGACAGTGGGCTCATGAATGTCGCCTATTATCGCTTTGACATCGACGACAGCACAGGTATGTCCAGTCATTACATGAGAAGCATCCATTCACTTGTTCATTGACTGTATGTCTAACCCATGCATTGCTATTTTCAGGCGAATTGGACGGCAATAGACCCGTCCCTTTCAGACTCACTCATAACATATCGGAATTGATGTCATGGATGGGAATGTCGGGTCCGCTCACGTCATCAATGATAGCATCGGCGCGATGTCTGTCGACCCCTAACTTCAAAGTGCAGTCCATTTTGAGGGCCGTATTGAGAGACGAGCTCATGATGTGGCACAAGAAGGTCTGACTTTCCTGTCATTCCTCTCCACTCTTTGCAAACAATTCCTAACGAATGCATAACTCTTTTCAGACACAGGAAGACGTGTCGAACACCAGTCCCTCGGGAGAGATGACAGTCGACGGCGAGACTCTCATAAATGTGGTCAACAAAGCTGTCGCCGCTATTATGGCTCGACTTCAGAGTCAGTCTTATATTCAATGTTTTCACACAAAATATGTTTAACTTTTTGATTGTCTCTCAAAGGTTTAGCAGTATTTGAGGGAACGGACAGCAAAGTGGCGACTCTTGTGGCGGCCGCCAACTCGCATGACAACCTCTGCCGTATGGACCCCGCGTGGCACCCGTGGCTGTAGGCCTTCCCTTCCCGTCCCATTCTGTCTATATTTCTCATTATTTTATAATTTAAGTTAATTTTAAACAATTAAAAATCATTTTTGTATACATTTAGAATGTATTTACTATTTATATATATATTGCAAACTTATGGCTTATATTCAAAGTTTTGTTACAAACGATGATATCTTTCAATAAAAAGCATTTCATTTAACAATTGTCTGAATCTTCCTAAATGTTTGATCAATACTTTTGCCATTTATTTGACAAATGAGTTGATTGTCTGTAAAGCACTGCAGGAATTGATATGATTTTTAGTGAAGAGAGCTTTGTTGACATTTCTATAATTTAATGAGATGAATGAACAAGCACATATTTGAAGATCTATTTGTTATTTACCGTTAGATTATAGATAATTGGAGTGCATTTAAGTTCGTTTGAGTTTATCATTACTAATGATTCATTAGATTACATAAATATATGATTGACACAAATAAGTGAAAATTACTATAAACATTGAAAATAAGCAGACTTTCCTTTATCTGTACAGTAATTATATATAATCTAAATTGATTTACACTCGTTTGCACTCATGTGATGATTGGGTGCAAACAAATTAGTGTGTTTTGTGTGCTTTAGTCGAGAGTTCCCCGAAATTCTGGTTTTTAATTGAGTCTAGATATTTAATAACATTTAGTTTTATAAGTGCTAGTACTGTATTAGCATAAAATTAAGTTTGTTTTGAATACAATTATCATTTCATAAAATTGCCAATAACGGGTATTCCAGTGCATAGTTGTGTAAATATAATTAATATTATTTACATTACTGGAGATTACGTGATAATAATTATCTCTATGACCACAACTAAATAGATTATAAATACTATATAAGTGGTGCTTCGGTAGTGAATATAATCAGTAGTGATTCCATATAAGAATTAATTAGTATAACGAATAAATAGTAGACATACTGTACTTAATTCAGACTTTTGTAGAAATGTCTATATTTGTGACTTTTATTGTGGTTATATTACTGACCATTTGGTATAATTGGCGTAAAAGACATATGAATAAACTTAGACGATATGGTATTCCGGGTCCAGAACCACAAACGTAAGGAGGGCTCAGCCATGAATCTCGTCGAAGGATTCTTACGATATCATAGTTCCCAGAATTGTAGCCATAGTTCCCATAACCAAGAAACTGGTCATTCTATGCCTACGGAATCGATTCCAAATACAAATACCGGGCCACCCATCCAACCAACGTCTACTGAACCCAACAATAATATGAATTCTGGATTTTTGCTAATAGTTTTCATTATTATTGCAATCTTTGTATTGATTGCAATCGCTTTGATGGTCTTTCTCTACATGAAAAAGAATGGCAATAGGAATATAGATACCGGTGCTGCAGATCACCCCACTGGTGGGAACTCCACTTCTAAAATCTCATTCTTAGGCGCGAGTCCGTCCTCAACGTCTGTCCGCTCGAACGCACAACTGATCCACAAATCGAAACTTAAGTCTTAAGAGAAGCTCCAGAAGTGAATGAATTTAAACACAAATTATTAAAAATTCAAATAAAACTATATTTTGTATTTCATAAGTGAACTGAATTTTAATAAAACTTTTGTATTAATAACTCAT